ATTTTATAGCCTACGCTCTCCCAAACAACAGTAACACAAGTAAATTGTTCAATAACCCATGGTACCCCTCGGTATACATATCGATATTGGCTAATATATATATACTGTATTCATATTTTATATTTAGAATTTATTGCTACTCAAAGCAAGGGGTGTTTCTTTTATTTGGCTCATAACGTATACAGAAGAGTTCAAGATACTCGTTTAACTACTCGGTATAGGACTGATGAAGCTTTTAGTTTAAGAATTCGCCAAATATCCACACTTGCCTTTCTTCCCCCAAATGAAATACCTGATACTTTTAATAAGCTAAAAGGCCATATTCCAGAAGAAGCAGATTCAATTGTCAAATAGTTTGAAGAAAACTATATTCGTCACCAAGTTAGACAAGTATCTAGAAATAGAGATGTGATCTGGAGAGACCCATTATTTTGCCTGCTTTCTGGTCAGTCCATGAAAATAATGAATATAATTTTCTTAGAACCAATAATTCTGTTAAGGCATGGCACAGAATGTGGAAAACTCTAATTGGCTCAAGTAACTTGAATATCTTTAAATTTATAAAAGAGATTCAAAAAGAACAAAATCGAGTTCAATTTGATATTATAGCTATTTTGCGCGAGACACCAAGACCTTTTCAAGGAAGACTAAATACTGCATGTAAGTCAAGACTTAGAACAGTCTTAGATGATCGCAATAGTAAACTATTATTGACCTAACTAGAAGAAATTATAGATTATATATATAGTATATATTTAATTTTATTAGCTTGCATTAACTATATGTTTATTTATTTATTTATGTATATATACTTTATATAATTTATTATATATATTAAATTATCATTATGTAATTTTTATGTATTGTTGTAAATACGTATATTGTCATATGAAAATTTTATTTTATTATTATTGCTTCATTTTATGTAATCTGCTCTCCTATTATGAAATTTATCAACCAAATATTTACAGTAAATGCAGGTTATAAGTCTCTAGTCGTGATAACAGTGTATATATAGATATACTATAATTATCATAAAGATCTGGGTACTATGTATTCACAGTTTATAGTTTATAATATGATCGACTATAGTACCTCTGTCATATTACAGTACCCGGTATAACAATAATTAAATATTTTTTCGCTATCGACTATTTCGTATTCATAATTTCTCGAGATCCCTATCAGGCCTAATGAGCAGTCATGACGAAGTTTATCAACCAATTATATGCTTCAACAGACTACAGAAGAAAGTCAAGTTTCTTGTCTTATTAGCTGCCAATTAGAAAGAAAAAAAAAAGTCAGATTAGTACTTATCTTAAAGACCAGTCTTCCTATCACATTCAAGCTTCATCTGCTAATTCAAGGCTGATTCAAGAAAAGTGAGGTTAGTTTTGGCAAATTATAATTATAAAAACAAGAAAAAGGACTATATTTATTACTTTCTTGCCTTATTTTTAAGTTTAGCTGCCTATTAAAACCAGTAAGACAGAATTTAAAAAAAAATAAGACTAGTACTTGTTGTAAAACTAGTCTTCCTGCCTTTTTTCAAGCTTTATCTGGAGATTCAAGAAATATGAGATTAGTTATAGAAACTATGAAAAAAAAAAGCAAGAACAAAAAAGGTTTAATACTTACTATGATAACAAGTTTTTTTGCTATATTTTTAGATTTAGCTAGCTGCTAATTCAAACTGAAGACCAAGAAAGTAGAAAAGTTGGTTTCAGTAAAACGGAATTAGGAAGAAAAAAAAAGAATAGGATTGGTACTTATTATAAAAACCAGTCTTTCTATCTTATTTCAAGCTGCTGATTCAAAGTTTATTCAAGAAAGGCAAGGTTAGTTTCTTCCCGCTTCTCTTTTTTTTTGTATTATTTTTAA